TGTGTGTGTATGTGCGCGCGTGTGTATAAAAGCAAAATTGAAAAGTAACGCGTTACTACTTGTAACAAGGTTATTACTGTTACAATTATTTGTTCAATAACAAATAAATAACGATATTTGTTTATTTATAACGTTAATCATGACATTTTTTTAGTAATGATAACAAATACAATTGTTATTTTTATTATTACTTTGTATCAAGGTTGACCGGAAATCCAATAGGTGAAATAAACCATAGTAAATTCTATTTTATCGTTCCTGACTTTATTCAATAGAATAAACTGGCAAAAATTGTAAAAATGATTTGCATTGGATACATAAATATAATTTAGTAAGTAATATTAAAATATATATATATGCATCTTATGCGAAAAGATATATTTTTGCTTTAATAAAGTTTAATAAGTAAATCATATTAACATATTATACATACGCGCACGATAGTTAAAAAAAACGAACCTCAATAATAACAAAATATTTTGTAATACAGTTTTTTTTTTAATTTAAATTAATATGTGAAATATATTTTTAAAATAAAAACTTTGATGATAATAAAAATGTTATTAAATTTTATATTAATTTGTAGTTTTATGAGAAAAACATGATAGCAATGAAATAAAAAATTTATATCAATATAGATCTGGTTTGCCATTTAGTTGACCATTCAATACTTTGCGAGAATAAATTAAATTATTTCTTATATTGAATCTTAATCTAGTACTGCCATTTTATTTTGAATAAAAGTTAAATTGGAAAACATTCTCTTGCGAAACTGGAATAATGGATGCAAAACTATATATAATCATGATACTAGAATACTGAATTAAAATATATGATAATAAAATTTTTTATATATTTTATTGCTTTTAATCGAAAGGTCTAGTTTTGGCCGTTTTTAGTGTTTTTACTATCTACTGACATGGACTTTATAAAAAAGATGTGAAATTTTATCAACTCTGCTTTGTACACTTACAATACATAAATACAAAACGTGTATAAATGAGTTTTGAAAAAAGAGAGTGTTATGTTTAATCCCATTGCGATTATCGTAACTAGTGTAACTACTATATGTAAATCTAGCGTTGAATTGATGTTATTGTCGATATAGACAATTACGCGGTGGAAAAGTAACAGAAAATGTAACGACTCATTAACTTTTGAGTAACGGTAACGATAACGGTTATTTTTATAAGAGTATCTTCCCAACTCTATATACAGGGTGTTCCGCATTTAAATGATTAGATTTTGAGAGCGTGTAGGGGATTAATAAACTAATAAAAAAAAGTCCTTTAGAGATATACTCATTTTTGCTTTGTTTTGGAGGAAATCGTAAAAAAGACGAAACGTCATTTCCGAAATATTATTGTTTTTAAAGCGGAATATTTTCGAGTACGACTTCAGCAATAATACTTCATGAAACGGTCCATTCAAGTCTTTGTTAAAATTTTATGCTGGATTTTTAATATATTTGAATGTTAAATTTGATACAAATCTTTCTTAGTTCAAATAGAATCAAAACGTTAATTTTTGAAAAGATCATATTTTTATAAAAAGGTTTTTATATAACTTTTGATTATTTATATAAAACTCGATCGGAACAATTTAGAATTATTTATTACCGCTAGAAGTGCTGAAAATAATCGGTATAATACGACACATTTCCGCCAAGTGACGTGCTGATAGCGATAGTTATAATTGTTTATAAAATGTTTATAAAGCGGAATAACCTTTGACATATAATTTATTCATATAGAACTCGTGCGGAACATGTCAGAACTATTGTCAAAAATGCCCAACATTATAGGGTCGATACGTTTCCGTGGAGTTCGAATATTCTAAATCTGTATAAAAATTATTAATTGTTGGAATTTTGTTCTGAAACGTCATATAATAATCAATCTAGCTTAAAAGAAACGAGAACACTTGACAAATGTCGTATAACATTCGATGGGATCTGGTATTTTAGAGTTTAGAGGAATTTATGCCGTGCTGAAACGTGAAATTAGCATGGTATTTCTTTATTTTTAGTTTTTTTAATATTAAAAATGCAGAACATTTTGTTATTTTTGAAAGAACAGTAGAACAATGGAAAAAAGTGCTACCGGAACAGTCATTAATTTTTGAAAATTAATAAAATGCTAACTTAAATTCACAGACACGGGTCAGCTAGGCAGACATTAAATTGCTCGCTGATTTATCTGTCGCTATTTATATAGAAATGGATGGTATTCTTTCATCAAATATCGCGTAAAATATCCTCCTTATTTCCCCAGTATCGCAGACAATTACGTAATTGGTTCTTTAAGATAATTTTGTCCACGTTTATTGCTTGCGGGCAACATCACTCCGGTTTCAATCGTGAACAAAAGCGAGAATTCGATTACCCGATTGGCAAGAGTAATTGCGTAGTGAAGCGGGTGAATGGTTTGAAGTAACTTGCTATGATATTTTTACTGTAAATTACACTGGCTAGACACACAGTGATGTTCAGATTTAACTCGGATTTTCTGCGGTTTTTTGATTAACTATGTTGTATGTCGATCTTTTTTTAACAGAAACGTTTAAAATGTTTAAATAATTCTTCAGTTCTAAATTACGTAAGAATTTTTACAAAAAAGCTTTAGAGGAGTAATGTCTCTTATCAAATTGCACTTATTAAAAAGTTAACAAATTTTAAATAAATAAAAAAAAATAAATAAATTTTATAAAATAAGGAAAACAAATTTTTTAAGATAAAACTCGAATATAAGAATGTTTAATGAAAGTTTGTAAAAATTGATTTTGAAAAATTTAGCTGAAGTTTGCTGCGCAAAAAAGGATATGTATAAAAGTGCGGTAATGTAGATATTTTCATTTGCTGCTCCGTTAATAATGCAGTTGAAATGTCAGCAATTTGAGACTTACACTAATGCGCCTGTAGACTGCACAAACTACGTATATCGTCGACTGCGGTATTAAATATTTACTTGCTTAGTACTGAGCATCTTCTTGTGAATCCTCCTGGATTCTCTCGGATTCTCTCAGACAGTTATGTCTATTCTGGATATTGCCACCTAGGGACGGTGTTAACTTTGAATGCCGTACGTTCGAGGTATTCTATTTCCACGACATCTCTCTGTACAATATATCGCACGATATATGTAATATATTAATAATAACTAATATCGTATATGTATGAGATTGAAAAAATAAAAAATTAGTTACTTTAAATACGAAGCGCCACTACGGTCTGAATGTTAAGATATTGAACTATTACGTACAGGGTGTTAGTTAAGTATGTTGCCATACTCAACAGAGTAATAAAAAAATTTAAACGTGTAGTAATAATCTGTTTGTTTGAAAGAAATACAGCTTGAACTAGTCAAAAACTAGTCAAAAATCAAAACAGGCTCCAGTTCTTCTGATGAAATAAAATAATTAGATGAATTGTTGAAAATATGTTCACCTTGCGCCATGATACATCCATCGAGCCTTCTTCTCAAAGATTGACGTACATGCTCAAAGATACCAGGTGTGTTACGTATTGCCTCGCATGAAGCAACTATTCGATTCCTCAAATCATTCTCATTGTCAATTAGGATGGTATAAACCAATGATTTCAGGTACCTCCAAAGGAAATAATTCAAAGAATTTAAGTCTGGTGATCTAGGAGGCTTTGACTTTGACTTTGTCACTTTGTTTACGGTTGTGCGAATGTAACTCACGCGAAGCAAGGCATATTTATGCAGGAAGATATCTCCAACGCAATTTACCGTTTCGTCAAACATTCGCGAACATTCACCTATATTTCGGAAATTAAGCCGTTTAGGACACATGTTTATATGGACATTTTTACTTGAAATAAATCAAAGAATCGCTCTGTTGAATATGGCAACATACTTAACTAACACTCTGTATATTCATTTAAATAAATTAATTTCAGAAATATTAAAGAAAATTAGTTTATTTTTTATTAATCATTTAATAATATTGATAGTTTATCATTAATTAGGTACGATGTATACAGTTAAAGTTTGAATTTACATAAAATATATATGTAAAAAAATGTGCACATGGGAAGAAAGTATACGAATAAGCAAAAACTTTGAAATAGGAATTTATTTAAATACTAATTTTATTAGTAAATATAATTAGCAGTTAAACTTGTTTACGTAATACTACAAAGCAATTTGCATAAAATTATCGTTTTATGCACGAAACGCCACGTTCGCAGAAGATCTTGCGATTATTCTGTCTTACTATGCTTGACATAAACGATATCTAATTGTGCATAATCATAATGCTGCACTTCCACTGGCAACTTTCGTCGAGAGTCGTAATTCTCAAATCCGCCCGCGGCGGATGGCACAGCGAGAATGAGAGTAATGAGAGAGAACGCGCAGCGCGGGGGGACAGATTCAGCAATGTGCACCGGTGGATTTTACTTTCTATAGCTTGACGAATGAATAAAGCACTCATCCCATTCAAGAATAAAATCGAACGGTTGCCCCAGGTTCCGTATTTTACACTCACATTTACTCTCATCGTTATTCTCGAAGAAATCACCTGGTCTTGCTTATCATCGTAGCACTTTCTCTTCCCCAAATTTTCTGCCGGGAATCTTAACGTTTTGATTCCAAATCTTTTCATATTCACACAAATTATGTTGAACGGTGGGAAATATTCGTAAGATTCACATCGAATAATTTAAGCATTTAAGATCCAGCACGATTATTAAAGACTTTTGTTTCTTATTTGTTATGTATTCATATTTACAGTCTTAAGTCTAATTCTTTGTTTAATGGAAAATGTTCGGAAAATGTTCGGAAAATGTTGATATAAAAAACAGATATACATTGGAGAAATTTAGCGAAATTGCCAGTCTGAAATCTAGTAAAACAAACCGGTGTCTTGTAAGCATGGGTATTTTATCTGAAACAGTTTGTGCGTAAACCATCAATATCCGCCTTACGACCACTCAGGCGATCTGAATTCGGATTTTATTGCTCTCTAATACTACGTATCGTAGAGAATTTACTTTCCCCCTTTTCTCGTTTGGCTGTACTCTTTCGCGGATCTTCTATCGATGTCGACAAGAGAAAACAGTCGGATATATACATTAAGCCACGGTGGCTTTTATTATACCTCCTTTCCGCGTGCCGATCTCGAATCCCTTTGAAATCCTTCACGATTGAACTCCAGACAACAGTTCTCTGCCTTATCGTTGCGTGACAACGTTAGCGTACGTCGTTGTGTTCAGATATCTTTGATTCCGATATATGCGATACATATAAGACAGATAGAGAGAACGAAGTGAAGCAAAAAGGATGGAGTTAGAGAAGCACTGTGATTAGGCCGAGAGAGTTCTTTCCGGTCTTCCGAGCTCGGCTCAATTGATCTCCGCCGTGCTTCGACAGACTCGTTATAATTGAAGAAGGGTACAAGAGTAGCTACATTGTTACATTTACTGCTGTAGATGTTACGGGTCTTATATATATATATATTTTTTTTTTTTTCTATATAAGAACATTTTTAATATTCTCATGTTGAAGCAGTTAAATAATTCTTAATTATAAGACGAATATTAATTTTATTAATTACATTAAATTAATTAAGATTTATCAATTTTCCAAATAATGATTAATATAAATTACATGATAATTTATTTTAAACAAGTAATTATATTTTAAATTCTATAATATCTTAATGTATCATTTTTTGTAGATGTTTCGCGGAAAGCAATTTCACGATATTTTTGCCAGATTTTGTCCTGAGAAGTGACAGTCTTTCTCGTTAATTCCATACTAAGCTACTTTTAACGCCTAGGATTTAGACAATTATAAATTGGTTTCATCGTCGCGGAAAGTAGAAGGAATATCTCTGCTGAAGTTCTCTCTCTCTCTCTCTCTCTCTCTCTCTCTCTCTCTCTCTCGTTTATGGTGGTCCTCTTGACAGGACGTTGAAAGCTCTTCGGTTGCCTTGCGAGCCAATATAAAGCGATATATATCCGTTTTCCCTGTGAAAACCAACCTAGACAGAAGAACTTGCCTTATTGAAAGTGGAGAACATTGTAGGAGAAAAAAAAGGAGTAACATTCAGGGAAAAAGGGAATGGTAGGAGAGGATTTATTGAAACCGCGTACAGCACTGTTTCTATACTGCAATCGTCATTCGACACCAGCGAATCATTGACTTTCAACTCTGACACTCGAATATTCATACGTTGCACGGATATGAGTTACGTTATACGTGTATGCGCGCCTCATTGATTTGTTTAATAAATAGTACGGTATCGGTATTTATATTGCAAGCGATATACAACGCGATTCGTGATACGAGACGGCGAAGAGGTAGGGTAGTGATAGACGGAATCCGGCCGATCGGATTTATTGGAATATTTGCGTTACACTTTTGATCAACAGCAACGATCTCCCTTGCACGTCAATGCTGCTGTCACGCTTTGAAGAAGCTCTCTGAAGCGTGGTACCAGACAAAACTTTCTAGATTTAACAGGATTTTCTGATATGTGTGTTTAGAGAATGCAATTTAAGAGCGCAGTGCTTTGACCGTGGAAATCAATTTTTACTTATTCATTTATTTTGTACGTGAAAGTTATACAGTTTTCTTTTTGGGAAATGTCATACTATTTAAATTGGAATCTGTGTACACTTTATTACAATACGTTGTATATTTTAAATTATTCTCATAATATGATTTTCTATATGTGTGCAATTTGCAGAGGAGAAGAAACAACATGGTGTTTTTAGAATTGGTGGACTTAGACGTCTAATTAAAACGTTATACAAAGAATATATGTGTATATGTGCGTGAGATATTGATGTAGTAATATGTAGGATGTCAATGACATGTAAATCGTCTGTATGTAAGTCCTGTTTATATTATGACTAATTTTTCTTTAGAATCCTCTTAATTAAAAAAATGTTTTGCTTATTTTCTAGCCATTTTCAGCGCATACGAAAGCAAAAAATTGAAATAAGTAATTACAAAAAATTTAATTAAGTTGTACAATCCGTTCACGAGATCTCTTGCGGTTAAGTTTTCATGGAGACATATAACTGTCATGTTCGCCGCTTAGTTTTGTTTCTTCATTTCTGACTATGTTTTAATCAGTATTTTTAATCAATCGTTATTTTAATGTAGAGAACTGCGGAATATTTCAAATGCACTATTAATTGAGTATCCGTTTATAATTTCGAGGAAGTATCAGCCTCATTATAACGTCCAGTCATCCAACCGGTCATGAGATGAAGACTCTGTTTTGTTAAAAGGTGGAGTTTGACCGCAGGAGATATTGTGGATGGATTGCGCAACAATTTGAGTTGTTGGTTTTTGTAATTACTTATTTCGGGATTTTTTTTATATATTATTTTTTTGTACAGCTAGAGAGTAATCAAAACGTACGTTTTTCAGTATTTGATTAAACGCCAAAAATCTTTGTAAGAAATGTAACATTTTTCGTACCAAATTTCGTACAAAATTCGTGTATATCTTCGTTTAATTTGTGTTTAATTTACTAAACAGAAGATGAGAATAATTTGTGACTTTTCAGATGTTTTAGATCTTTTAATTGTTCCAGTCATTTTTGTTCTTGACAGAAGCAGAATTTCTCATGTGAGCTTTTGTTTAATACAATACCGTAAGTCTTCTAACTGCAGACGTATAGTGAGAGTTTTACTCCTCTAATATTATTCTCGTGCATTTCTGGTTGTCGGAGGAATTTCCATTAGTGGAAGCACGAAATATTCTTGTATCGCTTGCGCGCGCTTTTCGTCGACGTGAGCTTCTCGTTTCCACGGCAGATCTTCGATACGTTGGATACGTGTAATCTTCGACAGTGGGCATTGCCTCTGGAGTAGCGAGCGAAACGTGGTAGTAAAGTAACGGAGCAATAGTTGTGTGCGACAGAGTAAGGAACTTGTCAGCAAATCGGTTTTCCGATTCGGAAACCGTCGTTTCGCCATGAAATTTCCAGTTTGGGACATATTGCGAACCTACAAATGCAGCAATGAAATTTGAAATCGAAATAGAATTTCAAATTTTTAGAATTTTAAATTACAATAAATCAGTAGAGAATAATTTCAAGTATTTTAGAATAATTTTCAAGAATTTTTATTTTAATTAATACTTACTCTTTTAATATATTTTTATGCTTTTTGTATATTTTTTTATACGAATTATATTTTGTCGTTTCTTTTAAATGATCAGTTATTCGACTATATCTAACTTAAATGACGTAGGTGTTACGAAGCGAGCAGTTTCGAGTTATTGCGAATCAGTAAAATAAAAAAAAACATTCTCTCTCTCTCTCTCTCTTTCTCTCTCTCATATCGATGGCACTTTTTACACGATTCCATCCCGTGTCATCGTTTCGCTTTGCAAGATTTGGAGAATCGTGCAACCGAGTAAACGCCTAATGCCAAAACGCGCGAAATTCGCATTCACGCGCGGCCGTCGCGTCGTTTTGCGCGATTGTCGGGAATTACGGTGTGTGCCGTGTGTGACAGCCGTAGAACATTCCCAATAAGATACGAGCAATAAAAGACTTCACGTTCGCGGCGGGACTCGCGTTTGTCCATTCATCCGTTCGTTCGCAGGTTCACACGCGCGTTTCTGTATGGAATGGATACCAACCGGGGAAAGCAAGAAACACACGAGTGAGAGAGAAAAAAAATATAAAAGTGGGAGAGACGTCGTCGTTTTGGGATTTATGCCGATCGATGTTCAACCGTTAATCGGCTAATAAGAGAGGGGTCTCATGTATGGCTCGTGGGACAAAGCCGGCCATTATTTTTCAGACGTGCGTCGCTCGATCGACG